TAAAAAAATTTTTTTTCATTGTTCGTAATTAAAAATTTTTTTTTTTTTTTTTTTTTTTTTTTGCAAAATTGATTCCCACTCTCTCAAATGCAGAAGCGGCACTAACAAACGGACAAAAATACACAAAATACAGACTGATTGACCGGGACAGAATGCCACGGACGAAAAATTGAATAGCGAAACAGCCGAAAAACCTTGACAAATGGCAGAAGATACGAGCCGCGGTGAAAAATATCGGATGCAATTCATGCCAGTAAACTTAATTCCAGTGGTTTTTTTTATTTTCCTGACTGTTGGCATAACAAGGGTGGCAAATTAGCCAGAGCTCGCGAAATGTCTCCCTTGATGATTGACACTGTGAAATTTTTCGCTGCCGAAACAGAGAAAAGGGATGAACGCGTCCAATGGTTGTATATAAAAATACAACACCGAACGAATCCAGTTCGGCCGATCGTAAAAAAGCCAGAATCACGAATAGGAATCGTGAAATTGGCACACTTGCACACGTACAATTTCTCGCGGAAGTATTCGAAAATATTCAAAGATTATTAATAAAACGAATCGAACACGATTCGTTGTAAATAGATTTTGGCTTTGACAAAGTCTACTTTACGTCAATTTCTTAATTTCGTGGCGCAAATACAAGAATGATTTTTTATTCATTATACAGAAAAAATGGCAAATTTTCCAAGTAAATTAAAAAATCATCAAGAGAGAAATTTTAATTACAAATTGAATAAAGAAAATTTAAAATTAAGAATTAAAAATTTACATTCCAGTAATTATCCAGTGATTATTTATGGAAAAAAAGAATTCCCAAATTTTTGATGGCTCAGAATCTACCTCTTGTAACACTGTAGTGAGCATTTTGGGTATTACCCAGTAAAAACAATGCTGCTAGTGCGTGTGTAACTTTAGTTTAACGATCGCGAGAGTTTGGATCAGGAATGCAAATCGTGAAACTTGTAGCGGTGGCTATATGGGAGGCTAAACGTGATTTACAATTTGAGGATCATGAGACTTTTAGGTGGCGATAACCGTTCCGGTTCGAGCAGTGGCCTGGTTTGAAGCAGCCGTAAAATTTTTTCCACGCGAGCGTCATCGAGAACCGCGAACGATAGTTTGTGAAACGCTGGTGGAAAGAACATTGTGAACCGGTGATAGTATACGTCCATTACAACTTGCGCGTAAAAATGTTATTACTTTCTGTGGTAAAAGTATGTAACTTACAGAGTGCTTCGATAAAAACAAGCAGACGAGTTACTCTAATCCTTTATTAACATTGCATCGCGTATTTTTGGGAGATATGAAAATGGAAAAACTTAAAAAATGCACGTGTCATGAAAAAAAATATAAAATCTCCTTTTTATAAATTATAATAAATATTTATCTGTAAAATATTACAGCTTCAGAGTTTAAAGTCCAAATTTAAAAAATCCTAAATCTCGAAACTTCCAAACTAGGGAAAACCACGAATTTCAAAAAATTTAAATATTCCAAATTTCAAAAGATTTGAATTTAAAAAAAAATCCAAATAATAAAATAAATCCAAAGTAAAACACTTCGTTCTGTAGCATATTTTTTGAAGTATTTTTTTAAAATAGTATGAAATGGCAAGATCCTCCGAATTAAAAGATTTATTATTCGTAAAACGGAAGAAGAGAAACGTTAATTGTTCGAAAATAACAATTAGCAATGAAAGTTTACTATTACTACGCCAGCCGCGTAATGGTATTTTAAGCCTTGATCTAGCTAATGCAGGTAATTAGTGTCCTTCCCTTCGAATAATTATCGGCACAAGTTTTTATACCCTATCCGCTCCATTTAACAAACTGATGTTTGACCTTAACTAATCCAAAGTTTAAACTTGCTACTTGCATTGCGTTGGTCGATGTACCTTTTAGTAAGACCATGGTTTAGCTTCATGGGGATTTTATGAGTAAAATTTAACCGAGTTTGTCGCGCTGTGTTTTGAAAGTTCAGACAATTTGTTCGTAAAAGTTACGTTTAATGTTGAAAGACAAATCACGTACTGTTGGAAGTTCCAATTTCGAAAAACATATCTAAATTGTCAAAAAAAAAACTGCAAAATTTCAAACATCAAGAATTTTAAATTCCAAACATCCGTCTAATGAATTTCTTGAAAGAATTTCTATGCAGAAATTGTTTGAGGCTATAAAAGTGAAGTGAACCGATTCAGCGAAACGACTAAAAGGAATGAAACTGATTCAAAGAATACTTGGAAAAGGGGATAAATCGTATAAGGAGATCCTCGAGTATCATGGATTATTCAGCACCATTAAGCTAAACAATTAGACTTACCACCAGAAAAATGCTGGTAATTAAAGTTCGTTGGTCAAGATTAATAAACCTTAGAACACCGATACGCCAAGTTTCTCAGAACTGTGCAACGAGCCATTTCTCTTAATTCCTCCCCCGAGACTACTTCAACTCTATTACAATAATTATTTTGAAACAATAATCCTGAACATCTCGAATGGAGCAAGCATTTACGTTGTAAACATCGAGGCCATATTTAGCAAACATCGCCGTAAACTAACAAGCCATATTTAGTAAAGAAAGGTCATTTCATTTTGTTACAGTAAATTGAGAAAGGGACAACGTTTTATGTAACAATGCAAATTGTAACATTGTTAAATTGTAATTCTATGAATTGTTTTATTAATTCAACAAATGCGCCTTTCAGAAGCCAATTTGCTAACTCTATCTTTTGCCATGTTATCATTTTTATAATCCACTGCATACGTAATGCAACGTTTTGAAAAAGAAATTAATTAATCAGAAAGACATAATACAGATAATCGTAAACTCCATGGCTTCTGAACGACTCGTACAGATTTAAAAATTAGCAGACATACGTCAACATTCTAATAATTAGAATGTTCTAATCACTAGAGTGCTATTTTGGATAACTGTCAATCATTAACGAAGAAAGAGGAAAGATTGGAGGACTCACCTGTCCATAGTTGTCGAAACCGTACTTGGCGGCGACCTCTGCAGCAGCTTCTGGTCCATCGGGCACGTGAACGGCGAACTGGTTGCTGTAAATCGGCGTTTGTCGTGGCCGTGGCCGTGGTCCAGGTTCCGATTTTACCAACAAAGCACCGATCAACACCACTAGTAACACGCACAACGAGCTCCCCTGAACCATCATCTCGTCGACTTTCGAACGCGCGAGATACGATATTATACTATTACTCGTTACAACACCCCGTTACTTCGTGTTAACGACGATCCGCGAGTCGAAACTGGAATATTTTTCAAACGACGACGATCCACGATGAGAACACACGATTCCAGAATAATAAATTTCCCGTGAAATCCGGCGGGACTCGCGAATCTTCACTTAATTTCCGTATACCATCGTCGCGAGCGTCTCGACGCATCCGAACGACGCGAGGGAAGCAAGAAAAGAGAAGAAACGTTCCGTTGAATATTACAGCGGAACGACCAGCTCGGCACGCGACGCGACACCAACTGAACGACTTTCGATTCTTCGAAATTTCTTCAGGTCGTTGCCTGACCCTCGTATCTGTAACCGAGAAATTGTTATGATTTAGTCGAGAAGCAGAAAAAAGAAACAACAAGCGCGCCAGCTACGACGCTTGCTCGAAGGACATTTGCGGCGTAGCAATATTATCAACAGGATTTTCCCTGAGTTGTAAATTCTAAAATTCACTTTCAAGTTTTAAATAATTAAGGATATATGTATATTATATATTATATAGTGTAGCAATTTTATTTCATTACACGTGTAATAGAATAAAAGAACCTGATTATTAGTATTATATTTATTTGTTCTTTATTGTTTCTTTGAGTCCCCTATAAATTAAAGAACATCGAGTTCGAACTACTTTTAAATACAAAGTTTTTCACCCTCAAATTTCGAGTTTGAAGATCAAAGTTTCAAGTCTCGAATTTAAGACCGCGAACTTCAAATCGTTCTTCTGGGTCATCTTCCTCTTCTGTCAAATTTCTTTAAAAAAATTTCGCGGAAGTTCCAGAAAAATACACTCAGTACAAAAGTTTCGAGAAAACCACGTCCAACGGAAAACTTACGGTCCGTAATGGAACATTGGACGACCAGCGATTGAATTACAGTGCAGTTAAAACAATCACGCGGGAAGCCACGAACGTAACGGCAATTTAAAAATCGAAAACCGATAAAATGTTTTCTTGTATTTCGCTCGTGTCGCCGCGGAAGACATAGAAGAAAACTCCTGATAAAGTCAAAAGCTTCCAACGCTGATCTCGACTTCCCCTTTCTCTCTCATTCTACCTTTTTGCCACGTAGAGCCACAGAGAGTGTGCACCGAAGGATTTCGAAAACTGTATTACAGACGTCGATGAAACCCGCTGGATTCTATGTACCTCCGTAGAATTGGAATGGAGAGACGCGACACGGTAACGGGTGTGTCATCAGAAGCAGGACATCCGAATGTTCGGATGTTGAAATTTGAAGGAAAATACGCGCGGAATACAAAGTTTAATGTAAAGGGTAGCGTCGACAAACACTACGAATTTTAAAAATCAATAGCTACGCTATATATTTCCGGGTAAACGTAATTACTACATTTTTCACTTTTGTTCGAAAGCATTGTACGAATAAAAAATTCTGTTAGTAGTTAATTCATGATCGCAAAATGAAATCACTTATCGACTGGTGTCATTAATCAAAAAAGGAACATTCGACACGTTTGATTTAAGAATATAAATTTAATATGTCATCCCTTAAAAAAAAAAAAAACACGCGGATTTTTTTAGAGAATCAAACTTTACACTGGAAAATTGGTTTTACATAGCTGCATGAAATATTGGTGTTTTATTAGACTATCCGCTTGTATTTTATAAATGCCGCAATCTGCATATGTCGCAGCCGATGTTACACATCTGAAAACCATTTTTTATTTACAGTAAAAATATATTGCAAAAACATATCAAATCCTGCTACAAATCAAAAGACCTCGCTAAAATTTAAATTTCTCGCTTCTGTAAATATTCTTTTATATCCTGGCTCGTGCAAATTTATTATTTCGCGATAAATTCTAAACAAAATATCAAAACTATGCAAATTACTGATTTGTGATGTTAAAGGAAAATGGTAAAACTCGTAAAATAATATAAAATTGCATTCTACTAGCAAATGTTTGAATAAAAACGATTTTATAATTCACTGTTATTTGAATACGTAACTTTTTATTAAATCAATGAACATTATTTTTATTCACAATATACAATTATCATGACGCGCCATTTGCAATTTTAAATTTAAATTATTCAAGTGACATCTACCTCCTAATCTTTCAAATCTTTTGAATAATTGGTGGCGGTAGTGTATGTTTTGACAGTAAGTAAAAAAGTGAACTACCTTATTTTCATACGCATCCTGATCCTGCACTGTTAAAGTGACATCTACCTCCTAACGTTTGAAATCGATCGAATGAGTATTGACGTCAGCATTGATTTCCCAATATGGCGTAGTAACTTTGAATGCATGTTTTAATGTTCTAAATATATCATGATACAACTTATTGGAATAAATGAATGCTCTAAATTAATGCTCACATTCAGAAAAAATATTACTTATTATCAGTTTCAACTATATTATATTCTCAGAGCCTTGTATTGTATTCACAGGTCTCAATCTATAAACTCATCTGATGATATGTAATATAATCTATAGTACTGCTTATAAGTATTCGAATGATAAAAATAATACTTTACCTTTGTCACGACAGTTAATTTAGGATCTCCCACTATTGTTAAAACAAAGAATTTCACTTTTATTCACTCGTTATAATACTCTACCGTGACGCGTCAGTTGCAACTGCAAATTTCAAATCTGAACTGTCGAAGCGACATCTAGCTACCAACTTTTGAAATTATTACTTTCTAGCTTGAAGCGTTGAGAACAAAACCGCCCTCTTTTATTAAAATGTCCTAGCTAACATTTTTCAAGATATACTGAAATATTTGAAATTCCCCACGTTTTCTATATCTTTCAAGCAAAATTATCCAATAATTCAATATATTACACAAATTCAATATAAAAAAGATAAATTCTCCCGCTTTTATATAAGGTATTATATAATGTACATATGGTTATATATGATACATTTCATTAGAGTAAATTAACGCTATAAATTTACGTTCAAGGAAAATGGCGGTTCAGTCCATTTTTTCTTCGAGTGCCTCATATTGTATTCACGTATATGTAGATCTTAAGCTGATTACATTATGCGTGTTCTCACGAATTATCATTTTAACGAACGAAACGTCTGAAGATTAAATTGCATAAAAATCTATTACATATTTGATTAAGTTCGTTAGAACATGCATGCAGTGTGACTATAGCCGTGTATAAATTATCGTATAGAAACTATAATTTACAATATTACTGAATGTTTGCACAATAAAGATTTTAAATTTTACTTTACCTTTGTTAAGAAAGATGTAGGCAAGCCCTTTGTTGCTATTTGCACACATAATTTCTTGTTAAAACAATAAAACATATCACGACAATTTACCGCGACGCCGCGTCGGTTGCAACTGAATTTATTTCAAATTTTAATTATCGAAGTGACATCTATCGACCAACTTTTGAAATTGTTCGAATAATTATAAATAGTGTAAATTTTTTAATATACTAGATACTGTTTAAGCCATTGAAATATAAAATAAGAATGCATATAGAAAATAAATATTAAAAACTAATTTTTATTTTATTATGTTGAAAAATAGAAAAAAAGAATAGAATAGATTTTTAAATTTATCTTTCTATTTTTTATCTCTTTTATATTGTAATAATTAATTATATCATTATATTGCGTAAATTATATTGTATTTAATTACATTAAAATTATCAATCGTAAAAAAATGAACAAAAATTAAATTTCAACATTTACCGAACAAGAGATTCAATACTACCTGAATATCAGCCAATTGATCGAAGCGTCCGAAGAATTCTCGAATCACGAGAACATGAGTACCAATCGATTACGCATGAGAATCACCGCCGAGAATCGATCGTTACTAACACATCGATAAACGGATAAGTAGAGTTCGCTGTACAAGTGCATATGCAAAATTTGACAGAACTATGATCGAATACCACAATTCGTGGAAATAGTGCGAGAACAAAAAGGAAACGATCTATCATAATACACATTATCATAAATTTTTTAATTTACAAATTTATAAATTTGTATTACTGTTTTTCAATAATATTTGTGTTACTGTTTTTCTGTATTTTTTTTAGGTTATAGAAGTGATCAATATGGCTTCCGTGCAGCTCGTATAAAACTAAACGCCTGACCATCGATGTTCAAAGCATTATATAACAAGACAAATTGCAGTAGAGTCACTTTTACCTGTCACAACATTGACAAGAACTCTCACGATGGTACATACGATGCCTTCGTACGTAACGTTAAGCATAAAGATACTTTTTATGGACGCAATATAGTAATACCGGCTAATGAACATGATCAGCTTTCCATGCTCCTTATTTACCGTGGTTCTACCGCAAAATATTATACCCGCGTGCACGCTCGTGTTCATGTAAGCGAAGAAGCAGCAGTTTAGACAAATATCCCTTGTACCTTCGAGCAACAAACGCTGAACCACTATCCATGAACCAATAATAATCAGAACCGTTACCTAACAAGTAATCGGATTACACTGGCAAAGCTTGGAGTTATGTTTGAAGTCGGTGACGTCAAGGTATTGATATTTTTAACCCACAGAATGCCAATCTGAGTCAGAAAATTGCCAATATTTGCCATTTTCTTTCTTTTACTTCCAGGAAAGGTGTGAGTAATAGCATACAGTGTAAGTACATGCACCAGTGAATACCAGATTATAAATGCTAAAACTGTGGATATTTTTTGCAAATTCGCATTTTATAAACATAATTAAAGAAATAGGAGATTTATTTCATTTACTAACACTGCTTTGAATATTATTTGCATCTTCAAATTTTCTATAGCTGCATAAATATCCACAGTCTAATAATAACAAAAGTGTAAACTCATGTCAAATATATTCAGGTGAGAAGTTTTCAAACTCTGCAAGTATAATGAAAATCAATTCGACAGCGAACATTTGTGTTAAACATCATATTAGTTGTGTCATGATGTCAAAAAAATGAGAGAAAATCTTTATTATGGTTCAAAGACCGTAGAAAGCGAGAGATTCGTAATTCGTGAGCGCTGTTATGTATAAAATAAAAGGAGCATTATAATGCTACGAATAATGGTATGTAATATTATACAGGATATTTCGAAACAGATCTTCATTTCAAACGAATGTCGATCTATTTTCTTCTTCGGAACAACTCGGGAATATTTAACAGAACGATCTTTCGTTTTCTTTTTTTTTTTTTTTTCTGAGGAAAGCAAATTTCAGTTTCCCTTTGAAATTAATCAAATTTATGCGCAACGCGAGGAAAGATGTAACTGTTTGTAGTTCAAGAGCTCATTTTATTTTGTCACAAAGCATTGAAAACGCGGTTAAATTGGGGACACACGAACTCCGACCAACGTGATTTGAATATTGAGTATTCAACCATTTGAATAGTTCTTTCTGTTAGGTACACAGAACGACGTATAATTTATGGCGTGACTGAAAAGGCTAGAGAGAATATCATGTAAAATGAGATAGAGAAAGACGGAAGACTTTAATACGGTGAAAAGTTTAGTTTTCTGAAAAATCTATAGTACTTTATAATGAATAAAAATATTAATACCATTTTTTTAATAATATATGTGCAAATACATTAATAGATCGCCATTTAATTTTAAAAGTTTATTAAATTCTATTCTATCATATTCTATTATAAGTTAAATTGAATTCAGACTCTGTTATGAATCATGTGTTTTGATAGAACCTGTACTATACGTTTGCGTGCATCTGCGAACAACTATCTTGCGTACTGAATTCAATTATCAGTAACACGAGTACTCTCCGAGAAGACGTTGACGACAACATCTCGGACAAACACACGACGGACAGTTTAGTGACAATTATACTAATGAATACGCCAATGGCAATGCGTATACTTCATTAACATGTAAGTACAAACCATATTTATGTGGAAATCATTAGCGCGGTTCTTCGTGAATTTTAACACTTCATTATTGAAAATTGATACTACTTCGAGGAGAATTTTGATAAGAAATTAATTAAAATTGTAAGAGTTTGGAATTTTGGAAGTTGAAAATTTGAATTTCTTAGTTTAGGAATTTTGGAAATTTGAAAAAGAAAATTACACGGAGTGGAGTGGATATTTTATTATAGATCTTAATGTTACACATGCATAACATAATTGGTATTTTATTTTTAAATAAACAAAATATGTATACATACAATTCGTTAGAAGTACAGCTTTCACGAAGAAATGATATTCAAATCTATTCGTAAGACTGATATGATCTAATCTTAATCTAATATAGTTTATATTTTTGAATGAAAATGAAGAAAGCCGGTAGAGAAAAATGTTAATGGAAACGCTGATAAAGCTAGACTTTCTGTGAGTATGATTTTTATCTCAAGTGCAACGATGCGGACGCGACATTTGCATCTCTCGTTATTTCGATACTAGTGATGAATAATTTCGCGATATGTTCAATTTTCTTTGATAGAAAAAATCTCGTTACGTTTTAAATGTCTTTCGTAACAATAATTTATGATTTCATAACTCTATCCGAGCTTATCAATATTTATGTTTAAATACGGTTTCGCTTATCATTCGTTCAATAAAAGAACGTTAATGTATTCTAAAGAGGAAAAACCAATGAGGAAAGATCAATGAATTAAACTTTGAACGAATGATCTAGACAAAGACTTTAGATATTAAAGGACGTTTATTTCTTTACTTGTTGATTTCTCTGAGATAATCATTACTATTGAATCTATACTTGTATATACGAAATCATGGAAATAATATATCTGATTAAAGACGCATGAAATTAGAAGATTAATAGATATCGTTTGAAGATTATTTCATTACGGTGTTTCTATAGTTAATAAATATTCATTTTCATTATTTTTACTATTTCTCTGTGCAATGCATTACATTCAATTTCAATACACCATTTGTTGATTTTACAATTATTAATTTAACTATTAGTTTTTGATTACGATAAATCGCTTAAAGTACTTGATAATGTAAATCATTTCAGAACTAACGCAACACGCATCATCTCCAAACGACACTAACCACACGGTCCATTATGTAGCCGATAATAAAGTGCTCTTAATACCGATACTCTCGTGCACAATCGCTAGGTCGCAGCCAATCGCAATACTCCAATTTTAAATCAAATGGAAAACGAGAAAACAGAGCCAGCGGGTATTGGTGATCACTGTACACGTATACACGGTATACCATTACCATATATACTAGTGACAAGTTGAAACTCGTTCGATCAGGAAAGAGCAACCTGGAATTTTTTGTCACCGAGCTCTCGAGGAGACGAGGTTGTACGCAAACCGGGACGCGGCAAGGGGAAAAGAAGAAGTATTTGAGCAAATCATCATGAAAATGGTGTATTACACTACAGTAGCTCACGAAGATATTTAAACACTATATAAAACTTAATGTATACATCATGCAGGTTACATGGAACATCTTGAAATAACTGTCATTGTCATATTGGAGAAAATTTGGAGACAAAAGCTACTACAAATATATCGCACACGTACGTATTCCAAAAGAAACGCAACTATTTGAAAGTTTGTGAAAAAATTTAGTAAAAGCTATATTTAACAATGTGCACAATTTAATGATTTTTTCCTACAAAACGTAAACTTTAAAAATTTAATATCCTTTCAGCTTAATCTCGTAATTTTCAAATTCACATCAAGCCGTTTCATCGCAGCAATGAAATTTCGCTTCGTTCAACACGCATACGTAACAGCTGGAATATTTTGGTGAGCCACTGTATATATTTTCGCAAACGAAACGCGAAACCGTAATTAGTTTCAGGTCAGAAAAGGTCAGAGGGAAGCATTAATCGAGACTAAAAGGTTTTTTTCGAGCCCGCATAATTAGAAGGCGACACCGCGATATTTCTTTGGCGACGCATCGCGCATACGATACGAAGCTTGTACACACGCGTGGCCGCGATCATTTTTCGCAGGCCACTCGCTCTCTGGCCTGAATTACACACGCGCGCGTGGCCCTCCATGAAACACCAACGCTGCTTTCACAGCCTGTTTTTTTTTTTTTTTTTCTTCTTAGCAGCGCAACGCGTTGCCACCATTCCGCATGCGAATCACGGTCAGCCTCTATTTTCGACGAAAGTGAAAGAATCGAGATCAACGACCCTACCAATCACGGAGAAATTCGCGAAAGAATATATCGACATATAAAAATCCTCCTGCTGGCGATTTAACAAGGAAACGAACGTACTTGACTTAATAGTCTAACAACACGAACAAACTTCATAAATAGAAAGTCTGTGATACACGAGGATGCAGAGATATCAGCTGACAGAAACAAAGGTCAAGAAAGAGCTCCGCGAGTTAGTTACTGAACTATGATTAGATAAATATGAATATACAAAGCTGTATAACAGAGACACGTACTAATGTAAAAGTGACAGGAAGATTAGTGAGTCACGCGACATCAATCGTCAAACAAATTTTTTTTATTTGTCTTTAGTAAGATATACACTTGCCTCTATTCAAGTATCACGCAGCGTCAGGCTCCTACGAAGTATGGTCAACTTCCAGCGAGCTTGCTTCGACGATACAAATGTCACCGACTTTGATACATGCACAAAAACGACTATGTTTTGGCAGTGGTTCGCGGCATGTTCTTCCGGCATGAGGCCTGCGACGAAGTTAAATAGACATCGACATGTGCGCGATAGGGAAAACACTGGGAGACGGCACCCACGCACTATTCGGAGTAAATTGTCAGAAGAACGAGGCCGAACTTACGAACCGAACCACCGATCATCCCGACCACTACAGGCCAAGTGTAGCACCGCACTGACTGCTCTCGCCGTTCACCAAGGCGATAAACAAACTCGTCGCCTCTCCCTCGCGAGTCTGCCCTCCTTCTCGTATCTCGTGTCTTTCTCTCACTAAGTGTTCACTATCCCGCTTCCGCGGACAAACGCCGATTGCCGTGTGCTGCTGAGCAAAATTTCGGTCTTTCTCGCACCGCGGCGTTGGCAATATGGCATGATCTCACTCTCATCACTCTGTCTCACTCACATCACCATTGGACATCTTTGTTACTTTCCTTCTCTTTCCACCAGTGCTCCGTTTAAGGCACAGTGCTGCCACCACACTTCGTCCACTAGCGCATCGCGTCGCAGCTTGTCACCTGGCGTTCTCGATTTTCTGACACTTTACGAATACGTGAATCAAATCAAACGATATTTGGCGACCGAGAACGTTTGCAGTTTTGCGAAAACGTGATGTCACTCGCGAAAATGGTGAACAAGACACATTTATGATGGCTCCATGACGCGACAACGCGATGTACGACATGTTTTGAGCCACTGACAGTCTGCACTGGGCCAGGAAACTGTATTGAGGGTGCTGGTGCCACCTTCTGCGATCAATCGCAACGTAATTTTGTTTAAACTAAGGAGACTTTCATTTTTACAGCTAAAAATGTTTAAACTTGCTTTGAATTAATATTTACATTTTGTAAAACTATTTACAGCTGTGATGAAATATTTGTACAAAAATCTAGTTAAATTCCCTATATTATCTTCCGTGGAACATAAAGAATATCGCAAGCGTTATATTTTCACAAAAATTTACAAGAATGTTGTTTTTCTTCGGAAACTTAATTTTAAAATTCAGATAAAATTTTCGGATTTCGTAACTTTTAATTCTTTTTATTTATCATCTGCAAATAAATGAAATCTCTAACGATAAACTCAATGTAGATTCTAGATGTCTCTACTGTAGCTTTTGAAGTAAGTAGAACAACTAGTCTGTCTCTTCCATTTTGGTGTGTCGTTCCGGGATATCATCATGGTGCGTATATTTAATGGAATCTAAGAAAAAAATCTACAGAAACAATGATAATCCCTTATCAAGTGCATAAACGAATTATCTAGCAATGTATTATAAATTATATTGTATAGGAAAGTTAAAATATTTATGTACTATAATAGATGATTGCAGTTACAAATATTTGAGGTTACGCGAACGTGCATGTGCTTTGAACGTGTTTTTGAATATTTTATTTGTAAAAGAGTGAAAAATGCAATGAGCAAAATGAATCAGAATACAAATATGATTTCAGAGTCGCGTCAGGACAAAGACGGTCAAAAAGGCCGCAAAACTCATCATTGAGAAATACTATACTCGACTAACTATGGATTTCCATACAAATAAAAGAATATGCGAAGAAATCGCTATTATTCCCAGTAAATCTCTAAGAAATAAAATCGCTGGGTATGTATTTACAAAAAAAGTGTTTTTTTAGTATAAAAACATGTTTGAGAATAGTTTTACAAAGTAACAAATTTCATAACCTAATGAATTTAATATTTTATCTAAGTTTCTTTCTTCTATTATTTTTAACAGATTTGTTACGCACTTGATGAAGCGTCTTAGACACAGTCAAGTACGTGGTATTTCCATTAAACTACAAGAAGAAGAAAGGGAACGCAGGGACAACTATGTTCCTGAGGTGTCTGCTTTAGAGCATGATATCATAGAAGTTGATCCAGAAACCAAGGAAATGTTACAGATGCTTGGTTTCAACAACATTCCAGGCCTTCAACTCACACAATCTCAATTGCCACCATATAGCAGACGTTCTTAAAATTTATTTCTTTATATTAAATAAGATTGTTGGTATTGCATTTTTTAATAAAATTGCAAGCTGACACTTTAAAAATTCATTTGATTGATTTATTCGTTTGTACATTTATTCGTATATACATATATTGGTTTCTTCATACTAACAGACTGTTGCTATGCAGGCTGTTATTAATGCAAAACAAAGTGTATTGATATTTTCAATTTTGTAAACAAAAGTCAGTACAGTTTTTTATATAGATGTATGTACTACAACAGAAAACGTGTTTCATGTAAAAGAAAGTACAAATTATTTAATTTTAAAACATACAAATAATGTACAAAATATAAACAATTTGAAGTAAAAATCAGCCATTATGGGACTTAGTTTCATTACAATTTATAATAGTTAATTATTAAAATGAATTTTTTCGTTTACTTTTCTCAATATTTTAAGTAAAACGTTATTAAAAAATATCAATAGTAACTTTCTTTTACATTACTTTTTTTTCTTATAAAATGAAGTTAATATTTTCATTTAGAAGTTTATCAAATTCATAATAGATTTATCATTTGTGTTATATTACAGATGGTAGAAATAATTGTAACGTTATATTCAGAGTAACGAAACTGGGAAAAAAAGAACATTACTGCCGCGAAAGTTCTACATTATCGATCTTTTGCTCCAATTATAATTATATATCAAAGTTATATACAGTACATTAAAAGCACGTACTTCCAACATCAACCATTTTCGCTTTCTCTCGCACGAGTCTCGTCGTTTTAATCGCAAACATAGAAACCGAGCAATCCTATATCTCGTATCGTATTTTGCTAGCGATACCACGGCTCAAATTGCGAAAACGCAGAATACCATATCGAATATAGTTCATTACTCGGAAATATTTTGCAAGAGATAACGGGGCTCGGTATACGTGTACGCGACTGCATTGGCAGTGAAACGCGTCGTCGCCCTTCCAAAGGCGCCCACGCGATTGGGCCGGACCTGGACAAGTTGTTCAGAGGCTGCGCGACCTAGCACGATCCAAGGCTAGGTAGCCTAGCATAACCTGGTGAACGGAGCGAAGTTGAGAAGAAAGAGTAAGAGAAACGGAGAGAGTAGCTGTAATCGCACGCCTGCGAATGTCGGAACTCTCGGGTGCAGGGAGGAGAGACCGTATAACCGGCGAGTCAGTCGACTATTAGTGGTCTGTGACTCTGGAGGTAGCCCGACCACCGCAGAACCGAGCCCGACGCAGCTCGGTTGCGTTCGGTCGGTAGTCGGGGCCAGTCGGGCGCTCCACTGCTCTTTTCGGTCTGGTCGTTTTCCTCAGTCCATCGTCGTTGCGCATCGAGAACAGTTGTATCCTTTCTTTTTTTCGTTCCAAGACACACAACGAAATAGTCGGAGCCAATCTTTTTTTCGCGCTATGTGACGGATATCACGGGGCACCGAGCGTGTACCCCGCCTTTTCTGCACTTCATTTCCCACCCCGTCTTTCCTTCTCTTCGTTACCACTATACACGTACTCTCCTTTGCTCAGAGAAAGAGGGAGAGAGAGAGAGAGAGAGAGAGAGAAAGAGAACACACGTTGTAAACGCAGGCACGTACGTACGCAGACACTCACCGACGAAGGGGCCACGAGGGCCCCGTGGAATTGTGCCTAGGAAAACATGGAGTGTCCACATCTTGCTCAAAGCGTCCAATTCGACGGTAACGACGTAGAAGCGAATTGTACGAAGGATCTACCGTTCATCTGTGCAGGTAGGACCCCCTGCCTTTTCTCTTTTTTGAGCAGCTTGAGATGTATCTGAATAGGTCGAAACCTGGCTTGCACGAGATCCTTTCTTCTCCGATTGGAGTAATATTTTGCACGATTCGTTTCTCGCTCGGGCCCAATCTCGATCTTTCCTTCACTCCTGTTGTCTCCCATCTCCTTTTCTCTCATTTCTTTTGTTTCCTTTATCCCTTGTGTTCTCTGTCTCGCTCTTTTTTTCCCCTCTTCTTGCCATGCTCTTTCTCTTCCTCTTTCTCTCTTTACCTCTCGTGACCGAGGCCCCGGCCGTTCCTCTCGCGGCCTTGAGCCGTCGTAACCAACAAGATGAAACGAGCCATTTCTCTATTTCTCTTTAAAGATACTAATGCATGCTTTCTTTTTATCGAGAGAGAAATAATACCGCGATGACGCTTATGTTCGCTTTCCGTATCTTACGGCCTCTGTATTACACGCGAATATCGATGATACTTCTGGACGCACGACTCCTAGTACCATTCGTATATATCGTGAATCGAACTCCCAGTACGAATATGTATGGAAGTACGTCTCTCCTCGATACACGCGAGTGTGTACGTATCAGTACGTATGAATGCAAGCAAGCTTGCACGCGCGTGTGCGGATATAGTATGTGAAAGTCCACTCCTCTTCTTCGTGCATGCATGTACATATATATGCAATATAATATCTATATGTATGTGTGTGGTGAGTGTATGTGTCCGCCGTTCATGGGTGTCTCTCCACGGACCGAACAAGAGCGTTGTGGACGTGCGCGTGTGCATCGTCCTGCTGGGAGTTCTCAGTATGCGGCGCGGTCGTCATTGGAAAATCAATACCAGACGGCACTAATCAGCTGGCCTGAGATCTGTCATTAGAACTCGCCAGATAAACGTGTTCATCGTTCCAACTTCTTCGTTTTTTTTCTAATTTCTTTCATTTCCGCTCGACGACACGCATACGTTCACATTCTCGACAATCATCGTCTTAGAATTACCTTCGAAATTCAACGAGTAGTGCATTTCTCTTTGTTTAAGAGTTAAAATTTGTTTCCTCCTTTATCTAGTCTTTATCTGTTCTCTGTAGTCTATAGTATGTCTTTGCTACTATATTTGAAATGAATGCGATAGTTTTATTGCATCCATTTAAATCTCCCTTGCCCTACGTGTCCTCCCTCGATCTTCGTTGCAGACGAAATTTTCATCGTGGAGGCTCCATTTCCTCTGCTCGATAATCGGTGTTGCGTTATATCCTTTTTTCTTACTTCTTTCTTTTAGCGACCTCTTACATAGTAGAATAGCAAGAAAGAAGCGTTTCAGCAAGATTCTCGAATTATTTAGTTACAACGAATTCTTTCAAGAAAATTTTAATTTTCATCTCGGCTTTCATGCATAGCTTTTCGGAATCGTGAAGAGTCTATTGAATTCGCGAAGCATGTCCATCTCTTGTCTGAACGTTCGAGTGTGGAAGAAAGGTGGAGTGAAAGAAGGAGAGAGAGAAAAATCGTGAAATAAAACAAATAGTCAAGGAGAGAGCATTGTCAGAGGTGTACCAGCACGGCCCATGACTCAGACCAGCGACTTTTTCCGATTACTTAGCTCAGTTCAAGTCAAGTCTCGGTGTTTTTCCAAATTGTCGAGCTGGTCAATCTATACACGTATATACGTGTGCATGCACGTATGCACACGTGGATACGATACTCCGCCGTCTTTCCCAAGAGATCGTTCACGCTCGGCGAATCGCGGCCGTATCCAGGTTGCAGGATCAATTTAAACATCTCGCGAGAAGAGCGCGACGCTGGTAAAAATTACCAAGCTCGACTCTGGCGCGAGTCACGCAGGAGAAAAATCGTCCCTCGTGGGCTATAAAAGAACCCCATGTTTCACACCCCTCTCTCTCTCTCTCTCTCTCTCTCTCTCTCTCTCTCTCTCTCTCTCTCTCTCTCTCTCTCTCCCGCCCCTCTTCTGCCTCTTTTCCTGCGCTGCAAGCTGGTTCGGGTACGACGTTGCAAAATCGATAACGGCGTCGTTGCTAATCGGATGCCTCGATACCAGTCGCATTGCTCGGGAAACGAATTTTTCCCTGGTCGTCCCTTTTCCTTTTCCCCGGGTTGCATCAAGTCGCGGAAGCTGCTGCCGCTCTGTGCGCGTTCTCGTTGCCTTTCTTTATCTAGTTCCGTCGCTCGGACAATGCGTCGACGAAATTCTTCGACGACGCAACACGCAGTAGGCGTGGCGAATCGTTCGTTACCAACCGGCGAAAAAGAGACGCAACGATATGACAAAAGAGATGGACGAATAAAAGGATGGATGGGTGCTCATTAGATGACTGTCGGTTTACCCTTGCAACATTTTTTCTTTTTTTCCCAGTTTGACGCAACGACGAGATTCGTTTCGGAAACTAGAATTTTTCGGAGTCACCTGCGCACAAGCCTATCTGACGATTTTCGTTCGATTCCGAACTTAGCTGTACTGACGTGATCTTCCAAGAATACAACACGATGATGCGCAACCCGTTTTTTTTTTTTTTTTTTCGAATCAAATAGAAATTTATCGCCCACTTTTTCCTGAGATTAGTCATTCGTTTGATGAAACTTTAATTGTGTGTCTAGCAAACTTTATCTGAATTTGACAATTAAATGAGACGAGGATGGGCGTGGAGCTCCGAAACTTCTTTCTTACATAAGATTGTGTTTAAAAAAATGGGTGTGTATAGAGACACGTGCTTCTTGAAGATTGAATTTCAGTTGGCTCGCCGATGTCTCCAATTTTTATGTATTCGTACTTTTTTTTTTCCTACCTCTAGCAATTTTACATCTTTCTATTTATTCCACCGTTGCAAAGTTTATTTAAGCAGCTAAGAATAGTCGAGAATCGAACGGAGCTATCCAAAATAAAAATAAAAATGATCGAAATCGATTCGATCCCATGAGCGTAGAATCTTCGAATTTTCTTCCATTCGACTTGCCTCTTCGTTGAACTTAATTGCAGAAAAGTGCCTTCTTGGAATGAGATCAATTAACCTAACGTATGTCTACAAGGATTTCCTCTGCTTTTAAAACACGTATCGTGATGCCCGAGATAAATATACGTATGAAAAAAAAAAAAAAAAAAAAAGAAACGTGCATGCAGAATCTCAAACTTGATAGCACTGCGAGACATTTTGCGATCGATCGATTGCGAAGGGGGTGTGTCGAACAGTCTTCCTCCCATTCACCCTGGTTTTACGCACTCTCTTGAGAATTACGTAAGCCGAGACAAGCCAAGAAGATGGTACATAGACTTGGGACTTATGTTATTTCGTAACGATCGGTCTTTATGCTTCCCGGATATTTAAAAAAAAATTCGTGAGATCTTGCAAAAATAGCTGCAGTTGGAGCAGAAATAAAAAATGTTGAATTTTATACAGGATATTATTCTAAATGTCACGTGATTAAGAATAATAAAATAAGTAGTATGTCACAAGTAACGATCTCTTTATTTGAAAATAGCAAGGATGAGACTAAAATGCTTTTATTTATAATTCTTAATTTCGTTCCCATTTTTAACATAAAATTATAATTTAAGTGTTTTGCTATTGTCGATAGTATGTGGCACGGAGAAAAGTACGTGGCTCTGTCTATACTGTGGAGCCATTCACTGTGGACGATACGTGGCAGGCCATGCATTACAGCATCACGAAGAAAATACTCAACACTGTGTGTGTATCGACTGTGAGAACCTGGCAGTATTCTGGTAAGTTTAAATCCTTCGCTTTCGCCATTCTCCGCGACAGTTCGACGAGTCCTAGTCTTTCTCGCGTCAGTTGTTACGATTTTTAATCTTGCCAGCTCACTGCTCGCCATCATTTTTAATGTCTCAAAAAAAGATATAACTATAGATATCGATCGATACAGCTATAGCTCCTGTCACTTAATTCTTTTAATTTCTTTACTTTATTGAATATTCAAGCACTATAGATCGCAATGTTTCTAATATAGTTACAGTCCAATGTCGAAAAAATAAAGAATCCATCCACGAGAGCTTCAGTTATTTAACAACACATGTACTTTACGAAAGAATGCACTTTACGAAAGAATGTACTTTTTCAGTTACATGTGTGACGAGTATGTGATCAACGATACGACGAGTGGCCAAATCGAGAAAATACGTCGCGTCACATTTCACAAGGACGAGCACAAGGAGAATGAGGAAAACTGGAATACGTCGCCGTCTACGACGCCGTCCTCGAGGAGAGAGAACAGCGACGAGAATGACGCGGATGCCCTGTGGAAGGCAGAGGTGGTCGTAAGGAACCTCCGGCCAAGGACAGCGCGGAAGAGGCTACATTCGTTGGATGGTACGAGCGGGGACAATCGGCCGGCGACCAAGCGTAGGAGTTCCAAGATAACCAAAGAAAAGAAGGTCGTCGGCCTAAGAAATCTCGGCAACACCTGTTTCATGAACGTCGTATTGCAATCGTTCAACAACATCAGCCATTTTTGCGAATATCTAACGCAGATGCCGTGTCTAGAGGGTATACCGTTCGACGAGCCACCCACACACAGAGGACGAATCGTCACGCCTGGTCGAGCGAAAGAATTCATGAGCGACGCCCTGCTCGCGGAAGAGCTCAGGAAGGTTCTTCTCGGTCTGAACCTTGGTGGTTCAAACGGTCAGGCAATTTCGCCAGAATGTCTTTTTCTTGTTATCTGGAAAGTCGTGCCGAGATTTCGAGGCTACCAACAACAGGACGCTCATGAATTTCTCACCTACATGTTGGACAGACTGCACACCGAGCTCTTGCAATTGTTGCCCAGACTGGGACACGAACCTCTCGGTCTGCGCGGCAAGCAGAGCATCGTCACGGCTGTGTTCGGAGGCACCCTTCTTAGCGTGGTAAGTCGCAGGATTGTTCAAGGAGGAAGCTCTGTTTAACTCTCGGCCATCGATAATCAAACGCTTTGCGACTGAGGGATGCCGTATCATTTTGATCTTTGAGCACTTTGGAGAAACTACACGAATCTAAAAATCTAAACCTCTGTCAGCTTTGATATAATATTAATGTGTTGCTTCGGTTTTTCTACCGATGCCCGCTTTCTTATGCGTGACACAATTGCATCAAAATGATCCGGCGCTCAGTTAGGCGAGGGTTAATGCGTTTCCAGTTATACTTTGTTATTCCAATACGGAATGACGGGAGGGAGTGCCCTTTCCAAATCAGCATTTTTTTGGAGAGTCATTTTATTATTCATTTTCTTCTTGGGAGAAGCGCGGACAAATTATGGATCGCGTTTCCTCGCGCAGGTCCACTGCATGAACTGCCGTACAGATTCGAAGACGCACGAGCCTTTTCAGGATCTTTCGCTGGATATACCGGACAGACTGCAGAGACGAACGAAAGAACAGGAAGAAGTATGCAGTCTCACGTACAGCTTAACGAGATTCTTCAAAGTCGAAGAGCTGGCCGATAGCGAACTGTACTTCTGTGACAATTGCATGGGAAAGCAGAGATCCACCAAGAGGTTCTGGATACATAGGCTGCCTAATGTTAGCATATTTTTGTTAACTATCTCACTTTTGAGTAGTGACACCAAAAGAATTATTTTCCTTTTGTTCTTTTGTTTTTTTTAATTCTTTCATTATTTCATTCTTTTTTTTTTTCGTTCTTTATTATATTTTCAAAATATATCTAGATCTATATTTAAATTTGGCAAGTTTAAGATAATGATTCTATTTTATTTTAGGTGTTGTGCCTTCACATTAAAAGATTTAGGTGGTGCAATTCCTATCGTTCGAAGGTGGACACACAGGTAGATTTCCCGATGAAATCACTTGATATGTCTGCATTTACAGTGCGTGGCGTGAATGGAACGAAATTGGGCGCTTCGAATAGTCATCTATACGACTTAGCTGCCGTTATTGTACATCACGGTTCAGGGTATGCTTCAACGTCCATTTTTTATGTTAAATTCATATGCAAATTAGGATCTGGTTCGTTCGTAATCTCTTTCAATGTACATATAATTTTATATTTTCATTAAATCTTATCAAGACTTATTAGATGAAATTTGTAACTTGCACATCATCACAATCTATTTTAAAATGACAGTACGCCATAAATTAAACACATGCATATTACATTTATTTGTACGGAAAAATATCAATGAATTTTATCAGACTTATAAGTTAGTTATTAATAGTATTATTCCATTTCTTTCACATTGTAAAACCAACGTTTTTCATCTATTGTACAATGAGAATAAATATTGGAATATCCATTTTAGTGCTGGAACTGGACATTACACTGCCTTCGCTGTTCACGACGGACAATGGTTTCACTTTAACGATAGCTCTGTACGACCAGCAACCACGGACGCGGTCGCCAAGTGTAAACCTTATATTCTATTTTACGTGCGGAAAGAATTCTCCATTCCACCTCCTTTGTGACGTCGTTTCCCCAGTCAGTCCCGTCCTGATGGTGCGAGCTTCGACGACGATGACGATGAGCGAATGAACAAGAAGTAAGGGAAATTTAAACACACGAAGTTGAACGGTGAAATGGCCAGATGGAAGAAACCAGAAAAATCACGCGAGCATTTCAAAGTTTCTAAAAGAGGAAGGAAAAGGACGCCCATTTTGTTTTCTAGCATATTTTTCGGCATTGTTTTTTTTTTTTTTTTTTGTGAAAAATATCGGTTGCTCAACATCGTATAGTAGCTAAATACTACGACGATTAGCACGATGATGAGTATGATATTTATACTTCTATCTTCGTGGTCGTTCGAAGCGAAACCAAACTGTTCAAATGTTCGCGAATGAGCGACGATTAAATATTTTTTATGTAATATGTGTTTCGTTTCTATTGATTTAAGTTCCTTCGTGAAACATATCTCTGGCTTTTTTTTTATAGTTATCAATTGTACGATAAATTAATCGGCAGATAAATAGTATCATTACAAACGTACGCCGTTGACATATCGATCAGTTGTTTCTGTATACGCATGTGTACATGTAGGGACGTACGCCTCCGTGAATCGAGAGCTTCCTCTCCTTTTTTAGAAACGGTAGAACGAAGAAGAAGAAGAAGAAAGAAGCGAAGAGCGAAAGAAGGAAAGAGCGTACTCTCGAGGCAGATCGCAGAAACGCGTTGCCTTTAAAGCTGATTTTCTTTATGCTCCTTTTCGCTGGTCTCTCGGTGGTTGTTGACCACCTCTCTTCATCGAATCGATTAAAGCTCCTCCCGGCCGTATAGCGGAATAACGCGCAATGCGTACCTCGTATATATAGTTTTAAACTAAAGCGAAAACGACTGGTCTTCTCGGTAGATAGATTTTTTCTAGGCTTAGAGAGCGACATCATCGTTATTTCGAAGGAGCTGGTAAAACGAAAACACCATATAAAGCCAACCAACTCTGTTACTTTGAGAAACATGTTACCTTCATCCTCTTGGATACTTACACACACGGCACGCGGATATGTGCATATATGACACACAACACACACGGACACGCACACACACGATTATCGTTCGAGCATACACGAATCGTTTACCATGTGTGTTGACAAAATATACGTATGTATGCATGTACGTATGCAAACACGTTCTCTCTTGTATCCCGCCCCTCCCCTCCTTTTCCCCCCTGCGATTCTCGACGACTCGACGACTCTTATGTGATTATTTAAAGACTTATTTTTTCTATAATGGTAACGATAATAACGATAATAAGTTAAAGAATGCGTAGCAAAAGAACGTTTTATTAAGGCGATAACCTCGACAAACGCGCATCTTCAGCAAAGACTCACTCGTATGCAAAGAAAGCGAGAGCGAGAAGTATAAAAAAAAAAAGGTGAAAAGAAAAGACAAAAAAAGAAGTAAAAAATGGAAGTAAGCGTGCAACACTATTATTGAGGATAAATGAGAAATGTATGAACGACGTATAAATAAAGAACATGAACGACGACATCATACTCTTATTTATCACGATTCATATTCCATTTTCAGTGTATATATTTTGTCAACAAATATTCGTGATTTTATTTAAAAAGAAATTAACAAATTAACACTCTCGAGTCGAGACGTAGACTCGAATGAGTTGGAACAACAACCGAATGCAAATGTACATTAGCGAAGTTCTATCTTTAAGTTGGCTTTCAACAGCCAGAATATTGGCTTTCCAAATTAATTTGCAACGTTTTTTTAAAAGCTTATGTACATAATTATAAAAATGCAATTCGTAGTACCGAAAAGAGCGCAAAATACGAATGTCAACCCTTCTTTTTCTGCAACGAGACGCGTGACTTCTTTCTTACCGATGATGAATCGTCATCTATTCGCGATCGGTATTTAGAAATCGAACAGAGCGAGATCGATATGATCATTCGATAAAATCGTAAGCAGAAGCATTCACTCTGCGCGTTTCTGTCTCTTCTGATGCGCTTGGAATTTTTGTTCCTGGCGAGTTCTTTGACAAGAACATCCTTGGTTGATTTCGGTGTCACGGTCAAACTTGCACGAAACTTTACGCGATTCTTCCGTCTCTCGGTCGAAACGTCCTGCTTCTTGTTCTCGTCCACCAAAGCAAACGGTGCTTTCGCAGATGTCTCTGGTGTTTCTCGCGCGCTTTTTACAAAAAACACCGAATAACGATCCTGCAATTTATCTTCATCCCTTTTGTCATCCGCTTCTGCGTTCTTTGTCCCTTTCTCGCGATCGGAATCGAGATCTTTGAACGCCTGAACCCACAGGTCGTCGCGATCGTAGCGTCTACAAGGATTCTCGGCGCTCAACGGCGTATTCTTGTTACTTTCTCTATCGGACGATACTCGATCGCGAACTATCGACGACTTCTCGTCCGGGGAGTCAGAATTGGGCTCAGGTTCGCACAATTTCTCCTCCGTGCTCTCGTATATCTTGAATTCCCGCAACGACGACAGTTCCGAGCAGTTGGAACTCTCGCATTCTTCCCGGTAGTCCTGGTTTTTATAAATCACGCTGGCCGCGTTCGTCGGCTCGCCACCGTTGTCGCGTCTCTTCGACTTTCTCCACATGGCGGAGAACTTTTTCACGAATCCCCTCATGCCGGACGATTTTGCGTAACGATCCGGCAATTCTGTCCGCGCCACGTAACTGATGATGTCCGCCGGTGAATCCTCGAACTCGGAACCGGCCAATCTGGTTATACTCGGGTGCGTGTCCAGCTTGTAACTCCGGTCTTCCTCGTCCTCGTCCAGGTTGGCCAGCCGCCTGGGCACCTTGAACTTCATCGAGGCGATGCTTGTTTTTTCGGAAATCGTGAAAGGAAATCTGTCCTGGCTTCTCTTCTTGAATCGCGGCGAGTCTCTCGACCTGTCGTGGCACAGCCTCGACGTCGAGGAGGAACCTACCACGGTGAATTGCCCGACGTCGTAGGACGTCTTCTCTGGGAAGAAAGTGGCAGTGTCCGATTGAATGGTTTTCGTCTGTTCCAGATTCAGACTTCTTCGAAACTGATCGGCTGACAGCCTCTCTATAGAAAATCGGAGCTTGTCGTGATTCTCAGCGATCTCTCTCGGTTTCGTTGGTTCCTCGCCTTCTGGAGACGTGTTCGAGGATTTCGATCTCTCCGAGTCTTCAATCAGAATCTCCCGGCATCCGTCGTTCCCCGTTTGGTTCTCGAATAAATTTGTTGTTCGTTCATCTGCCATCCGAGGGGAAAATTCTCCCTCGTATGTGCTTTGGTAATTTTCCAGAGGAAAATCTGTGACATTTGTGACATTTAGAAAGAAACTAGGCTCCCTGGATTCTCCTACTTTTTCTTCGAGATTTTTTACGGATTTTCGTACGTCGCGTCGTGGCGAGAAACTGTCTGATTCGTTTCCCGAAGAGATATTTTGCTCCAGAGTACTCTGTTCCTCATTCTCCTCAGACTTTCTTGAATTGTCGGCAAAAGTCGAGAACCCAGAAGTGTTCGCTGTGTGACTAACACCAGATCCGTCACAGTTCGGATTCTCTTCTTTTCCCTTGCTCTCAGATCGATTATCATCAATTATCTCGACTCGAGATGATAAACAGTTTTTCGACCGAGCTACTGTCAAAACCATACCCGATTTTTCTACGTTCACCAAATCTGTTTTCATGGAAGATTCGGTCAAAATCTCCGCAAACGCGCCGCTTTTCGCGGAAGGCAAGTCCTCACGCGATCTGGAAGCAAACTGAATATCTTCAGGTTCGTTCTCAATGCATCTCGAACCTCTGTTTGCAGATGATTCGGTCGTGTCCTCTCGTGCCGTGTAGTTTCTCGCGAAAGGCGAATCTTCGTGCGATCTGCGATCGAATTGGAAACCTTCGGGGGACGATGAGTTATTTTGACAACTCCGTCCGACAGGAGTAATCATTCGCTTGTCACTTTCGTCAGATTTGTTGCCTCGAGTCGATAATCTGCTTCTGTTGCTGGGAATTTTTACTGGTATCTTGGATCTCGCGTTGATGGACGATCTACGAGACGTTGCCAGCCTACTTTGCCCCATCGATAAATCATTCTCGGACGATCCTAATCTGGAGGCTGTCTTGCTATCGGCGCAAGACTCGCTGCAGGTATTTTCTGCGACACCGTTCGCAGTTGTTCGTCGCTTCAAAGACGCGTTCGACAGGGCCATGATCAGAGTATTTGGATCTAAACGTCCTCCCGAGCAACATTTGCCGTTCGGTGACGTTGAGCACGACGCTTCCTGCGAGTTCAAAACCAAGGTCGGAACATTCGCGAATTCTTTGTCACTGGTGACTCTGTTCGAGCACAAACTCGAACCGTGGGTTTCATGGCTGTTTCCGGTAGATCGACGCGAGTAGAAATTCTCGTTCTGTGAAAACGCGGCGTTGAAATCGTTGACGAAAACTTCCCTGAGGGAGGAAGCTGCGCTCTGATCCTCACTCGCGTTGGACAATCGCGAGGTGACGATATTTCGTGACGATCGAGGAACATTCATCTCGTTGTTGTTCTTGTAATTCAAAATACACCGAGATACCGCCTCTTTGAAAGTCTGCGCGTTTGGCGAGTGAAATGCCAGGTTGTCGTCTGGAGCATTTGAAACATTTAAACTTCGTACGATGGCCTCTGGCGACGCCATACTTTTTGGAGTCGAGGTGGAGTTTCGATCGAAGATCTTCTCATAATCGGCATTCTCGCTGCAAACGCTCTCACAGGTGGGTGAAGTTTGATTTTCACGGAAATTGAAATACCTCTTCGCGATCATTTCTTGATCATTCTGATTGAAAATTTTCTCGCAACTATTCCATTCAGAGTTGTTAGGCAAATTTTTGGAGACATCTGGAGAGATACTGAGAGTTTCAAACACAGATGGCTGCAAACATTCTCTGCGAATTTTTCGCCCAGCAGAGAAGAACGTAGGTTTTTCGTCCACAGTTTCTTTCTTCGCGCTTTGACCACAGTCGCTTCTTGAACTCTCCAGAATTTTATAGAAAGACCTGTCACAGAGTATTCTCCTCGGAGGAGACAACGCGAACGCTGAACGATAGTTCGAACCCTGTTGCAGTTTGTTCTTACTGAAATTCGTTCTTGAAACAGAAGACGCAACATTTCCGAGGCATTCGTTCCTCGAAGAATCGACGATGGGCGATCTTCTCGAGGATAAAGACGATTCATTGTTGAAATTCCGAATTCTCGGATCGTTGACACGTAAATTCGGGGAAATGTTGATTCCTTGAGATGCGAATGGCGTCGAACGACTCGAACCAGCGTTCTCTTCGAAATTGAACTCTGCCTCGCTACCAGAGCTAAGATTCTGCAAGATTACTCCACCGAAGCGTCTGTACGTACTATCCCGCGAAGAGTTTCTCAGAGAAATTGGCGAGACTGATTGCAACTCTACTTTCGGAGAATTCTCGCAAGAGGTGTTGGAACATACACGATGGAACGCGTTTCTCTGAGAACCATTGTTCGTCTCCTCTTCTTGATTACGATACACTCTCGCCGATAGCGACGAATGTCGTTGAATATCATTCAACACCTCGAATTGCAGTGGTGATCGTTGATGTTCAGAATGTCTCTTCGACAATTTCTCGAATTTGCTTTCAATCAACGAATATCTGTTGGCTGTCGAATCGTTCTGTAAATCGGGGGCGCTGCCCTCGCTGGGCTTCGAGACGACTATATTTCGGTCTGTTTCGTTTCCCAGACGAATCATCGCTCGTCTGCGAGCTCGGGCGTCCCTCGCTTTCAAGTCGCTGAACGATCTCTTCTTGGAAAGCGTCGCCTCCTGTTCCACAGTCTCCTCGTTCTCGACGTTCTCCTCTATTCGACTGCTCGTCCCGTGGAAGTAAAAGTCTCGCTTCCGAGAGAGACGCCGGCTGATGCTGATCACACGGCCTGCTAGACGCGTCCCTTCATTTAGCGACGGATGATGCTGAAGACGCTTCTTTAGATCCGATGGCGAGCTACCTTCTGAATTGCTCTCGCTTCTCGTGTTCCCTTCGTCCTCGTTTATCGAGCGATCTGCGTAATCGTCAGAGTTACAGGCTATCAGGCTATTGATTTACTTGATTTAATTGGAGGGAAATTTTCTTATGATACAAACGATATTTTTAGGTTCGCGACTTATGTAGAAAAATGGCAGAGACTTTCAGAAATCGAAGAAACGAAATTTAATATTACATTTGTAGATATTTTCAACGATCGCGTTTACTCTGCGTTTTTTATTAAACTTTTTATTATTTCAGCGACGTCTCGCCTCTCTAAAAATATTACTATCGCGCCGTTTGCTTTATTCAGTGATGAAAACGTCAATATTCCATGAACTTGCGACGTAAAGCAGAAATGCCAGAGGTTATGAGATAGAA